TCATATGGTTAAAAACAAGAACTTTCGAATTCTACTAATTATTTCAAAAAAAAAAAAAATTTTTCGTAAGTTGCGAACTCAATCAAAAATTATGATCTTAGAGTATTGTTATAAATCTCGCTTTGAAATTATAACAAGTAGTTTTAAGTACTTAGAAATATTTCACTTTTGAAAATAATTCTCATTTATCTTGATTTTTATACTCATACAGATGAGAAAAAGTGTAATCAACGAAGAAATTTTCTTTGATGTCTTATTTCAATGAATTATGATGTAGTTTTTAGTTTCAATTTATGACAAAAAAAAATAAAGTTTTGATCTCAAACATTGAAAAATAGTGAATTTTTATCGATTGTGATATTGAGCATTTACCAAAGAAATCATTCTGATAAATAATGTTTACCCTTATGAGTCATCAAATATCTCAAAATTTGAGTACGAACAAATTTCATCTTGAAGTTAAAAATTATAAATTTTAGTTTGATAATCATCGCTCATTTCTGCTTGAAACGTATTAGAAATTGAACATATTTTCATTTAAGAGAATTTTCGAGGAATTTTATATAAAATAGATTTGTTCGTTAGTCTTCAGAAAAATTTCTACATTGATAGAAAAACTGTTACTGTTGACAAATTATCCATTTACCATAAATTTTATGAAATTTTTTTTTTGTTTGGGAAAAATCTGAAAAATATTTTATACAATATAAAAAATGATAAATAAGAAAAATTAAGAAATAAGAGAAAATATTTGAAAAAAAAAATATTACATTTTCTCTTAAACTAAATAGAAAAATAGTTGGCAAATTTCTCAAATGACAATTATATAATTTCTTTTATTTTCTTGATAAAACAAAGTTTTCTGATTCGTTTACATTTAAAGATCTTTTTATTTTGATATATTTACTGAGTATTCCTCATTCTCTTCTATGTTTCAAGTTAAATAATATTTTGTTGTAGCCAAAGCAATTGAAACTAAAGCTTCAGGGTGTGGATGTGAATGAAGAAAAGATCAACACTTACACCCAGATTGAGTCTTATTACAAAGTTTGTGGTTTTTGAATATATTCTATTAAATCAACACAAAATTGTAAAAATATATAAAAAAAGGAAAAAGTTCAATGTTGATCGTACTCGAAACTCTAGCAAACTTGATACTACTGCTCGAGGAAATAATTAGATTCCATGTAACTTTATCTTCAATTATCTTAGCAGCATATTCATATTTAGCTTATGCATTCAGCTTATTATCCTATCTCGAAGTGATTTTCAAAACAAATTAAGCCAAAAAAATAACACCAAAAGTTGCATGAGAAGAAAATACTCATGGTAAGTGTTAACATGTCTAGAAATGCTTGACAACCCAACTCTATTTCTGAAACAAGTTTTTACGGTGTCGGATAGTTTAAAGCGTTAAAATATGCGGTTTTTACGATTCTTTGTTTCGTTTCATATTTCAAACGAGTTTTTAAATGTATCATTTCTGAATGAGGCAAATTCTATAAGGTAAAGAGACACCTCAATACTTCATGATTATTTGAGAGCTAGTTACGACTATATTTTCTAACTATTTTAACTTTATTCTAATCACAAATCGGTAAATGTATCAATGTTAGGTGGGAATAGAATTAAAATTTAGTCTTAGATAATCATGAAGCATTAAATTATCTCTTTACCTTATTAGATTCGCTTATTTTATGTATTATAAAAGGAAGTAACTATGTGTGTATAACTAACTAACATATGCGCAAGTTTCATAACATGCTTTCGTACTCATCTGAAAATATTTATTCGAAGATATGCTTTGAAGATATCAACTACTGTTATTAAACTATTTTCTAGTTATGATTCTATGACTGCAATAAAACAAAAATAACAACTCATTGGTATCGTGGCTAGCAAAAAGAGAAAAAAATTGATATAGTTAAGGACACTAGATCAATTGCTTATATGGCTAAATTATCTAAGATGAAATAAAGGAAAGATAAAAAACATAAAGTTAACTAAAGTGTCGAACTTATTTCTTGTTCTTAAAGCAATAATATTTCTCAATTGGCTACACTGACCTCACCATGACTTAAAAAGAAAAGGAAATTTATCTATATGAGAAGAATATCTTCTGCAAGATAATCAATGTAATAGATAATAAAACAATGAATAATATCATGAACACGCTAGTTTGAAAGAAATATGAGTGTCAGAATTAACGGAATCAACGAAAAAAAAATTAAGCCACAAAAAGAATGAATTTGAACAAAAAAGTTCCCAAAGAAACAAACATGCCACTTTGTATACTAATTTGGTATTTAGTTTTCTGTTTGTTCAGTTTATTTTGCTTCAAAATATCTTATATAAAAAAAAACGGTTATTTTTTTTCCACTAAAATTGACAGAACCGTATGCTGTCCAAACATGCACATTATGTGCCTAACAGATTTAACTTTTCTATTTTGCTTTAGATACATACAGATGCCTTGTAACCAGTAAACTCTAAGGTTAAGCTTTCTGACGAAATCACATTATACTTTCGATTGTATAGAAATAATAATTTTCAGAATTCTAAGTTTTCACCATAAGTATAAAAAAATAAGATAACTGTTATTTGAAATAAAATGGTTCAGAATATCTTAAAAGTATATTCTTAATTGTGCAGTATTTTAAATTTTCTATGTGTCCATCACTCGCCAACAAACCAAAAATAATTTTCGTAATATTCAAAAAAACTATCACAGAAAAGGAGTTAGCAGAAAATTTAACCATTTTGTTATAGTAATCCCTTGTGACTATTCTTTTCCTTTCGATATTTCTCCTTATTTTCTTCGACATTTTTCTTTTCACCATACCGTTCAAAAAGGATTACGAACTCCCGTCGAATATTTGTTATGGGAAAAAGTCATTTCCGAACACCTAGACACATGTCCGGAGTTCGAAATGACTTAGTGCAAAATGTCCGTCGCTCGTTTAGAATATATTAAGTGACGACTAAAATGAAAAACTATTCAATATCCTTTTGTTATTTGATATTATTAATAACCTATGAACAACATTAACAAAAACGAGCTACATGATCACTTTTTTTTCTTTCTCATTGCTTATTTGACAAGGTAATACTATTATGCTTTTGATTAGTATGGTTTAAAATTTTCTATTCACATTTACACTGATCATTTATACCATTATCTTATTGTTGTAACCTGTAATCAACGAAAAAAGCAATCATGTGCGCCACATAAATAGATCATCTATCGATGAAGAAAAGACACTTGTTTTGCATCGAAGAATGTTATACAAAAGCCTATCGGGATTCTTTTTTGAATTCACTGAATTTTCTTCACGATTCCAAATGTTTTTTTTCATATCATATATTCTAAAAGCATATTTTTGATCAGATAAATGGGAAGGATTGGGTCTTTATTAAATTAAAAAAAAAATGTCTCTCACTCTTAGTTGTCTTTTTCCAAAATATGCCAGTAGTGAATGGTGGAGTGAGTGTATGCTTCATCTAATAATTTTCATTCAGCTTCACACTCTTAACTAAAGAATTATTTGATCAGTTTAGCAATATCCATATTACGGCCTAAACATTATTATTGAGAATTTTGTTTTTTTTTACTAAGAATGAAAAATAAAATCAAAATGAATTAATTGTCATAAAACAAATAAATGCACTTTCATTTTCTCTGACGATGAGTTTTTTTGGGAAGAATTTCGGTTCTGTATAATTAGGTACTTGTTGTGAAATATAGATCAATTGTTGGTAAACGATAACCCAAATAGACAAACATATTGAGTTTTCATGTTTTGGGACTAAAAATTTCTACTTAATTTTTTTATCATTCTAAATTATTTAGATACAGATTTTTTCTGAAAATAGACTATTATTACCTATTTACTTTAATTAGAGTGATAGCATCCTTTATTTATTTTTTCTTTCTCTAATTTATTTTAATATAAACATATATTTATTTGAATTGAGCTGGTGTTGTTCGTCTTATATATATATATATATTGTATGAAATAACATATATATCTTGAGATTGAATCATAATTATATATATCAGTGCAAATACAATATCCTGAAAAAAAAAGGTTTTCATTGTTTTTAACAAGAAAAAAATATATGGTCTTATAAATTCGTTTCCAACGTTATAGCAAATAATCAGATAGAACAAAAACTATATGTAAATACAACAAAAACAGTACAAAATAGTTTTCTGGTATTAACATAAATCTATAACTATAATATAATATGTATCAATATAATCTTATAATCAAGGAATTACCCAAGCAAAAAAAGATTTTGAAAATCGCGTTTAAACACGATTTTCAAAATTTTTTTTTGTTAAAAATGATTCAGAATATTATTACGTTGTTGATATGAATGGATATATGCTGTATTTGTTTTTGATTTGTTCTATACTAACCTAAAAATAAATCTAATACACTGTTCACATTTAACGGCATATAGAAATTAAAACAACCAATGATAATGTATAGTCTTCATCATCCATACCTGTGAGAAGACAAATATTAACATCATCACTGACATCAATTGGAGCAAAATATCATGACTGAAGCATCGATTAATATGCTACATGTGCTCAATCAAGCAAAGAGAATAACTAAATAGTGAGGCTGCTACCTTCGAGTATATACATGTAATATTAACGAAATCCTAACTATAATTTCATTGTTTGTTTATTCATTAATTCGATGTTATACGCATATACAATTTTATAAATACTTAATAATGATATGTGATTATACATAGCATTTTCTTTTTTTTTTTTATCATCGAACATTATGTTTATATTGTTATTTCAGATCTTTTTCTTCAAACTTATTTTATATATTTTACAAGAAAGATAAATAAAAATGAAATTATCATTTTGTCCATTATTTCTATTCATAATTACAAATATCTTTCAATCTCAAAATTGCTTATAATTACATCAAAATAAAAATGATATTTATGAACAACTATACAAAGCTACACAACGAATGTTATTATCGTTTCTACCTCCAATCTGTTCTCAAATTTTATTAAATCAAAATAATATACAATCTCAATATATATCTCCACACGGTTTATCTGGTCGTATTATACCAGCTGGAACATTTTTAACCCAAATTTTAGCTCTAGAATATATATATGGAGTTGTGTGTCCCATACCAAAATTCCCACCGCGACCATCTACTATTCAGGGTATTGAGTTAATACGTATCACTTATGATAAAGAATATTTGATCACTGAAAATGAAATAACAGTTAATATAACTGGTAATAAACGATTAACTTTTTTTGCAAATATGGCTTTTGATAAAAATTATAAACTATGGGGCTATGATGGACAAATACGAAATTTTGGATTAACATTAGATCCATCTACAGATGCAGAACGTGAAGCAACCATAGGATTCATATGTACTTTTACACAAACATTCTGTGCTGGAGAATTACAACAATATTCAAGTGTCGAAAATTGTACACAATATTTAATGAAACGGATACCTTTTGGTTCATTTGATAGGGGAGACCAAGGAAATGTCGCATGCCGCACTATTCATGCATACTTTGTTCCTCTATTACCAACTGTACATTGTCCACATGTTGGTCCAACTGGAGGAGGAGCATGTACCGATAAAACAATTGACTTTTATTATAATCAACCGAATTTTCTGGGTTGTGCTGCTAAACAATGTCAAGAAAATTAAAAAATGTTCTTTTTTTAACTTAATATTTAAATAATAAATTGATATTATTTATTAATAATTGCTTGAAAATAAGGCATAGAGCTATGAGAGAGATAAACGCCTTCAAGTCGATATTGATTTTTTGCTATGATAAAAATGTACTAAAAGTTCCATTATTTTACTAAAATAGAGCAGGTGTCGTACTTTTCGTTTCAAGTCATTCAGAACTCCAGACATGTGTTCGGTTGTTTGAAAATAAATTTTTGTTCTTAAAGATTTATGAGTAGAATTCTTAAACAGTTTTGTACGGGTGATCGTAATAGAACAGCAGAAAAATCGGAATGATGTGACCGAGTACTTGAAATAGAATGCTTTCATGCTATATTTGATATGTGTCTAACGGTATTGTCACAGAAAAAAATCGAAAGAATAGAATGACATTGGCAGAAAACCCGTAAAAGAATTTACTAGGAGATCGTAACGTATATAAAGACTTTTTCTTCTGTTTTTATAGATAAGAATGACTGTAAGAAAAACGTGTCACTTCATAATCTCTTGAAGGTGAGTTAATTTCAACATTTTACACACACCCTACCGTTTTCATTCCGAACATCCTGCCGTTTTTCTTATGCCCGAAGTTCGTAAAGGACTATTTCAATCGGAGTTCGTAATGAAAAAGTGAGACAAAAAAGTCATTTTCTCCAATATAGCATCAACTGGACTATCAAACTATACGATTGGACTTCTAATTTGCTTTAGTATATTTTTGCAAGACAATAATTTTCTACTGAAGGTTCGTTTGTATGACTTAACACTTGAGCTCCAATGGATGTAACTCAAATTTTTAGACTCGAAAAATATTATTGGACTGAAATGTAATCAGTTAACTTTTCTGGCATAACAGGCAAAAAAACGGTTAGACCGACACTAAAGATCTCAGCTAAACGTATTATCATAATTAGTATCTTATTTAAATACGAATGTGTCAGATTTGTTTTATTAAGACAATTACCATTTATTACTAGAGAATTAAAAGATAAATTCAAATTTAATTTATTGGAATCAGATTATATTTATGAAATTAATTGCTAGAAAGTCGTCTTTGAATCTACCTACTTTTTTCCTTGTGTCATAAATTTCTCTTATTTTCTTAAATCTCTCATATTTATATTTTGAAAAGAATTATTTTTGATGATAATTGACAGAAATAGAGTAAAACTTGAATTGATAAATCGTTTATTTTATTTTCATATAATATTAATATGATGTTTTTTTGTTAAATAGTTTTAGTAAGTACATTCAAGCAGATTTATTTACAAATCACTAAATAGTAATGATATTTCGCTAATTGATCCATCGAAATTCTCGAACGTTGATTTATCTTCAGCACTACTGCCTTTAGAACTTTGAAAATGAGTCAGATGATTTTAATCACGTCTAACAGCATTATTTATTGAAAAATTTTGACATGCTTAGAAAAATATTTGTACGAGATTTTTGCAGACTTAGAAGTTGTCTCCAACATGTAGTATTTAGTTTTAAAAAGAAAAACAACTACCGCGTTTCCAAGTTTTTCAAAACTAAAATGCATTAAGTGATAATCAATGCCCTTTTTTGTATCACGTCGCTGACGAACGACTTTGCCTAATCATTACATACTTATGATAACATTTTAGCTCTATCACTTCTATTGAATAAATGAATATTAATCCAATACAATGGGTCAGTAAGAATATATCTTCATTACATGTTAAAATGAATTCGGATTCATTGCTCAGTGCACATATTGTATTTAGAAAATCATAATCTAACTATTATTTTAAGACCTTTTTTTTTCTAATCTGTTTCTTTCAAGTACTGTTGGGTGGTCCTACAGAAAATTTGTTCAGAAAAAAATAAATCTTTCGTCGTTCTACCATTAAATAAGAAGCCAATCATTAATTGATAGAAACGATAAAATTATATTACATCAAAAGTTATTTTCAATACTTTTTATTTTTTTTTAAAGATTTTAAAAATAATATTAATTATAAGAGAATCGCTCCTCTCAATGTTGATGTGCCAGTTTGCAGAATTGCGGCTTCGACGAAACTATTTTTGTGTAGTTGTATTGGCAGATGTCATCGGCATCTCATTCTTAACAGTAGTATTGACGATTACTTTTTTTTTGGATCTTGATAACTTGAATACAATAGATCAGACCACCGATGATACTTTAAACAACTAGAGTACCAAGACCAACAGCAAGATCAATTATTAAGGAGGCTAAAAAAATACCTTTATTAAACAAGAAACAATAAAATTCTTCTCTTGATTGTAGTGATGAGATCTGTCCTGATTGTCGTCTGTGATATTGCTGTTGGTAATGAGTATGTTGTATCAGTTTCAGATGTTGGTGGCACATATGCTGCGTCAGTTTCAAGTGTATGCGGTTGAGTTGAAAGTGTTGAACGACATTTATCATTTTTAATAGATTCAAAATAAATTCCAAAACCTTTGTATTTTACAATACTTGTATCTATATTAACATTTTTATAATGACTTTTAATTACATTTGAACATGTGTCATATAAATAACGTGCATGACTATTACCACATAAACGTGTTACACCTAAGTCGGCAGTATTTATTTCAAAATATGGATAATTTTCATCACATTGTGCATCTTGATCACGTGCTATTAGTCGTGTTGATAAATTTAATGTAAGAATATAAATTTTAAATGTTTTATAAGGTTGACTATCTAACAATATATTTGATTGTAATTGTATTTGACAGTCGTTAGATTATGCTGTATAATTTAATGATGAAATTATCGCACCATCATCAACTTTTTGAAGTGAAGGTTTTGATGAATATTTATCGAGACTAAGCTTTGATGTGTTGGAATGCATTGACATTCAATATATAAATAATTTGATTTTGAATTATTATATGATTTGAGTGCTATCTCATATGAAAATATAATACCTGATAGTCTACCACTACAAGTACTATATAAACTATTAAGATCTTCAAAACAATCCTTTGAAGAATAAGTACAACTATATGTTACATTTGCAGCAAGTTGAAATCTATGTATAACAAAAACATATTCAGACATACTACGTTGTATTGTTACCGTTTGTTTGACACAAATAGTTGGTTGTTGAATAATTGTACTTATTGTATCAGAACCAGGCAATGTTGATGATCTTGTTGTAGAAGTTGTAAGTCTATCAGTTTTTGGTAAAAGATGATAAAGTAACACAAAACCAGGTAACGATTGAGAATCTTTATTTAATAAATTATATGAAGCGAAGATTTTATCTATTAGTAAACATGTACTAAATGAAAGTTAAATTGAACGTGTTTACCATATAAACGTATACTATATAATTGATTATTACATTGATAGGATAATAATACACAATCATTTGAACATTCATCTGTACTCGGATTAGATGAATCTATATTTAGATCAAGTAAATGCATATAAATAATAAGATTAGAACATTCAATTGAATTTAATGTTACATTAGCGCATTGTGCTTGTGTATAAGATAGATATGATGAACTTTTAAACATATCACAAACTCCAACGGAGTGATCTATTTGACCTGTACCTGAATCTACAGTGTTTGAAACGATTGTTGGTATTGGTAGACATTATTATTTAATAAGATAATTAACTATAATTCAATTACATTCTGGTAAAGTAATTGGATTTACAAATGAAATAAAACATGGTTGTTTTCCTGAACATATTCGATAAACAATATTAGTCTGACTTGTATAATCACCGATTGAATAACTACAGCGACTACCTTTATTGGAAAATGTTCGAAGAATAATAAGAATGTAATTTGTTAGACATTGAAAAATATTTGTATCAAATAGGGATATGGGTGTGGATGTGGGTGTAGTTTGCTTTTCTCTGTATATCACACACTCACTCACACCCCACATCCACACCCTTGATGGTCTTTAGGATTCTTCAAAAAACTTCCTTGGATATTTCTTAAAATTATTCAAAAAACCTTCTTTTGGTTTTTTTTAAAATGCTTCAAAAACTATCTCTGAATATTCCTTAAGATCCTCCGAAAATCATTTTTGAATGTTTCTTAAAACTTCTTGAAAAACCGTGTTTCGACATCCCTCAGATTCCTCTAAAGACCTTCTTTAGATATTCCTTAAAATCCTCAAAAAAGTGTCTTTTGACGTTTGTTAAGATCCTTCAAGAACTGTGTCGAAGTGCTCCTTGAAATCCTTCAAAAACGTTGTTTAGATATTCGTTAAAACTTTCCGGAAAACATTATTCAAGATCCTTGAGAAAATCTTGAGGTAAAAAATCGAGGAATCCCCAATATTTGCATTAGATACTTTGATTTTTCTATAGCACAGAAGAGAAAATTAGAGATAAATTTGATCCTATTGAGATTTGGTAAAACATGGATTTTGGACTCTTATCTTGTTCACGCGAACTTTGGTTCACTTCACATGACCAGTTTTAACCATTTATAATGGTGACGAGCAGCACCTATTATCGATTCATTAAAAGGGCTCTATAAAGCACTGTTATGTGACTAAGAATGTATTTACATGGCCACAACTGTTGTAGTTTCAATAGGCTTGAGTCACTTATAATTCGTCATATGAGTGATTTGTTTAGCACTGATTTAAGAGGAAGACCGATATGTCATAATAATTGGGATTCAACTAATATCGTACGAACCGATCGAAACCCGTCGGCTAATTCCAGTTACTTTTGTGACCGACAGTCAACAGCGGTTATTTCCTTTGCTCTCAGGGTTTCACAGCGTAAAAATCGACGAATAACCTTTCTATTGGCCGAAGAAATATCGGTCAAAACTGCTAACTTTTCTGATCAATCGGGAGGTTAGCCGCGATCAACCGTCAGCTTTTATGCTGTGAAACCTTGAGAACAAACGAAAGCGGTTAACCGTGGATTACAAAAATAACCGGAATTAAGCGACAGTTTTCTATCGGTTCATATGACATGGGAACCTTCTTTACACCATTATTATATCTTTAGAGAGTACGGAATACGTACATGATTTGTTTTTTACAGTGGCTGAGCGAGAAGAATGAAACTAGTATTTTTTTCTTGTCTTTTCTCTGATTTATGTTTGATCTCCATTAGAAAATCAGTATCGTCATATAGTGTGATGTATTTCTATTTCTGGGCAGAATTTTTCAAAAAAATTTTGGACTGCTGTTCACATCCATATTTTTTCAACATTTTTCCGTTGAATTTTTTACGGTCGAACACGTATTTTGGTGAATATAATTTAATGACAATGCTTAAGTAATTTGAATCCTCGTCGAACTCTCTTGTTGTACATCACTATTTCGAAATTTTTCAACGGTGCAGGAATTTTCCGTTTAAAAGTTGAGATGAGGATTATTTCCGTCGTTACTGTCTCTTTTATCTTCCAGACAATATCAAGATAAGAAAATCACCTTAAAAGAACTTTCAACTGTGAAAAATTTCGCTTGCCTCCTCCCCCCTCCGAGAACTAAATTTGCGCTCCCGGAGCAAAAAAACCTGGATAAAACACTGCCTAATCCCACCATTATTTTTCGCTTTAAATGTTTACGTTTCAATCTCTGCTTCAATTATTGTTGCAGTAAAGAAAAATACTTTATTCTTTGTTTTCAAATTGCCTCAAAACAAAAAAAAACATTTGTCGAACTATTAATGCAGGATAAATATCAATTCAATTTTTTGATATTTTTGCTAAGAAAATTGTTATCATACCAGCTTTTCTCTTTTACTCGATTAAATTATTTGATCCTTTGTGTATCTATGGATGATGTCAAATGGTAGCGTTGCCTCTTGTTTTGATTTTTGTTTTATGGGATGGGCGTTAACGTCCTCAAATGTGTACGAAGTGATATTTATACATCAAGAATTAATAGTACATATGAAGGTTACCAATAAATATTATATTGTAAATCTAATTCAGTTTCTCTTGATAAATTAATTACTTTAGGGTTAAGTTTCCGAAAGTTTTGTATTAGATACATTAATTCAAAATTTTTTTCTAGAGATGAAGATTTCTGATATCTTCGATATTCATTGAAAATAAACCGTAGATATATCATGAAACCACGATAGTTAAGTTGCCAGAACTCGATTTGCAATGAAATGTTTTGTGAATAATGGTCGAATCAACTACATCCTAACATTTAAATCGGGCGTTGTTTTGACATCGTAATCTGGTTCGTTATTTTTTGTGCTAAATATTTACCTCTCAAATCTCTGTTTTTTTAAACTATTGTTGCTGTGAAGAAAAGTATTTTTTTTTTCTTTTTTCTCTTAAAGTGACTTAGAGAAAAAGGATTTGTCGAATTGCCAAGTTGTATAAATATCAATGCAATTGCAATATTCTCCTTAAGAGAATATTCATTATATAAGCTTTTCTGTTACTCGAAGAATTTATTTGATTCTTTGTGTCTCTATGGATGAAATCAGATTACAAAGCATTCTGTTGCTTTTGTTTCTATTTTATGGAGTGATTGTTAATGCTGCCATATCCGCAAGAAATGGTATGTATACAGCAAAGATTTAATAGTGCATAAGAAGTTTACCAATATAAACATCATATTGTAAATCTAGTTCGATTTTTCTTGATAAACTAATGACTTCGTAGTTAAACTTCCGAAAGTATGGTATCATTTTAATTATATAAAGAATTTCTATTAGATATATTGATTTAAACATGACACGACATATGCGCGTAGAGAATTTCGTGCGTAACGCTTGCTCACAAAACGAATTTTTACTATTCTTTTTCTATATTATCAAGGGAGTTAAATTCATCATTATGAATAAAAGAAGGATAGTCCACTTATATTATTGCATGTATCAATACAGGAAAAAAATGGTTATCAAGATGAGAGGATTAATTAGTGTTATACAAAAAAGTAATTTCGATAGACAAATGATATGAAATAAAACGAAAGAAGGTCACGTATAGGTATAAAAAAAAACATCTGTGTACAGACGAATTATTCTGATAATTTTATGGAACAGTATGAAACCAGGTTCTCGTTGGTACACAAACACAAAATAAACGAAAAAAATAGACGAGCAAATAAAAAGTATACAAATTTTGTACAATGTTTCATGTGATAACTATTTCACTATTGTTGGACCTATGCTTAATTTTCTGAATATTCACTTAGGTATTTATCACTCACCAAATGTTCTGTACTTGTGCTCCTATTTTAGTAAATACAAGATTATTTTTGCGTGCATAATTATTTTTTGTCTCAAAATGTTTTCAGTAACACATATTCCCGGAATTAATAAGAACTGTTTATGTAATACAGAAAACACATAAAAAAAACATTCTGCACGCAAATGTTGTACAACCTAATTCAAAATTTTTCTTTCGAGATGAAATTTTCTGTTGCCTTCGATATGTATGGAAACTAAGCCGCAAATGCACGTCCTAAAATAAAGATACTTAAGTTATGGAAATTTGATTTTCATTGAATTATCAAATAGGTCGACTACTTAAGTTAATAATGGATATATAGAAAATTATTTTGCCAATCATACTAATATATACATATTGGCGACTTTTCTTTACATATTTGATCATTCCTTTTAATCATGAAAGTAAACAAGTCGAAGAACCTACAAAATCTTTCTATGATATATTTATTTTTGTGTACTAAAAAGTGAATACACTCTAGAATCGATCAGTGTGTCCGGTCGACAGTTTACATGGTAGCTCTCGAGAATATGAATCAATTTTCAAGAAACTTTCAGGGTTGATGGGTCTCATGAATATCTCNAATTCAAATATCTCCACATAAATTCCTAAATTTCAACATCTAATTGATTGACTATATGTTTGAAAGTGTTTCATTTCACAACTCAGGCCTATATTCATGTGTCAAAGATTTTCATAAAACCGACCTTAAAATTGATTCATGAATGCTCTTAGTTGAGAATTGGCATACTACATTATATTGCTCTCATGAAAACAAGTCGAATCACAAATTGAAACGTACACAGTGGATTAATGCTAATTTGTAAATTTCATAATAATAAAAAGTCTGAAACATTAGTTCGCCTGCAGGCCAGGCCAGGCCAGGCTGCAGGCTGACTTTCGAAATTTAGCCTGGCCTGCCTGGCAGGTCAGGCTAGCCAGGCCAGGTTGCAGGCCAGATCAGCCTGAAAAAAGTAGCTGTTGGCAGCGGGTGTGGGTGTGGGTGTCCATTCAGAGAACACCCACACCCACATCCCACACCCACACCATCTGGCTGATGCATTACGGAATAACAAGGTGACCCTCATTCTTTGTTTATCTCTCTCCCAGACCATATTCACTTTTTCACATAGGCACTCACCGAACTATATCTTGGCGACACTTATGGAGGCAATACAATCGAAGACGAAAGAACACAGCATCTAGCTGATGCATTACGAAATAACAATGTGATTCTCACTCTCGTCATCTCTCATATACTCATATGCACTTTTTCACACAGACTCTTACTACCCTATATCTGGTGGACAATCAAATAGGACCTCTCGGAGCACAACATTT